TAAAGTTTATTGCACCGCTTGTCCGCTTGTCAGTTACTATTTATATCTAGCGGTGAGCAAACACGACTCCCATGAAACGAGAGGCGCCCTAAGCTGCTCGAAGCGCTGCTCTATACGACCGAAAGGTGCGTTTCGTTTCTAAGGGATGATAAACACCTGGGTACATTTACGGATCCAGTCACGTGGTTTGCGACCAAGCTGATAATTTTCGCGAACAGGACATCTTCCGGCGTGCGGAAATTATTTGTCTGAACTAGTGTCATACCACGTTTTTGAATTAACTATGTCAAAAACAGCAATGATAGCCCGGGGACGGCGCCACAGATTGTGAGCGGGGGTAGAATTTTCCAGGGAGCCTTCTGGACAAAATAGGGCCCGCTTCGCGGGGGGAGGGGGCTCCCGCGCAGTGTCGTATTCACCGGGGAGAGACATGTGCTATCTAGTGTTGTCTAGTGATATATAGCGTGCTATCTACTAGCATGTGCTCTCTTATCAAACTATGACATTTTTTAAAATAAATTTATTCCGAATGGTTTGCATGGGTGACTGGGTTTATAGTACCTGCTAAGCATAGCTTGTTGCGTGCACCGTGAACCCACCACCCAAGTCGCACCGCCCAGTTCAACGGATAATTTCGCCTCCGCCCTTGGGCCAGACAGGAATGCGGAGGGTTTACGTGCCGCACAATGCTGCGACACGGCCGCCCCGGGTCTGGGCCGACATTGTTAGCCAGTTGCCAGCTGACCTTTTTCATTTCAGTCGGGCCAAACGACGCGCCTGCTCTGAGATTCGTACCCAGTGCCGCTGGATTACCAGTCCAGCATCCTTCCCCTAGACCACAGTGGCGGCATGCATGAACCATATCCCAGTCAATAAACCTCGACAGCTGAAACATCCGGAATAGGGGCTTTCAAGTAAGCCAGCAAGGAATCTCACTTTATAAAAACCGGGCCTCCTGTTCCCCAAAAGGGACTCTTCAGTCATACGGGGCCTAGTAATAGAGAAGAAAATGCTCCTGATTAACGAGAAACTTCTAAATCTACCCAATGGTCCTCGCTTTCCCGTCTCAGGGCGTCGTAATCCAAAACCGCGGTGATCTGATGTGTGAGAGGGGTTCTTATTCCAGAAATAAGGCTTCTCGAATGCAAAAAAAAAATGTTTTCTAACACAGAACAGGAGCCTCCAAGCTTGCAGCAGGGCCTCCCGAGCCAGAAATGGGCATCCTTAACACAACGTTGGGTTTCTTGATCTTGAGCATTGACTGCCTTATTCATAAAGGTGACCTCATGATACAGAAAACTAGGTAGACTAGACGAGACTAGACTAGCTAAATGTAGCAAAGGATCCTCTGAGCCCGATTGACCACTCTATAGCTCTGTCATGAATTTCCTTACCCTGAATTTGGGTACTCTACGGGTAGCAAGGTGTCTTCCAAGTTGCTTTCGGAAAAGGACAAAACCATGCTGTTGCAAAAGCATACTCTACCCCACCGGCAGGCAGGGAGGCCAACTGTCCCTCTGCCCTAACAGAACCCAACAATAGTCAATTACGCTCAGCAACTAAAATGGAACAATGCACATTGACCAATACTTGTACGAAATTGAGGCTATAAAACAAGATTCCTCAACTAGGAACGTAAGCTTTTCTGTCAAAACAGCGATGAAGATGAGTTTATTGTCACTGTGATGCAAAAAGTGTACTTGCCGTTTAAAGAACCGCCACGTGCATGCTTATTATATCGTTGTTGCGCGCCTGCTATTTACTTAAATTTCCGTTCAATGGGTGTATGCTATTTTGTGGAGCCACTCTCATTTCATCTGGGCTAGTTTCACATCAGAAAAACGAAGTTGGTAAATGACCATTCTAAAGAATAACTTTTACATCAAATGCGCGAGATTGTGCATCACTAAATAACATCATATTCCGCCGCACGCGGCGAAGCGCTTCCTCCTTGCAGTCTGAAATATTGATATCATCCGAAATCGTTGAACTCCGCGCAATGGTAAAGAGAAGAAGGCTAAAAGAAATACCAAAAAAGCATATTGGATAACGGGATTCAAGATGAGGCTCAAACTTTCCCCTATATTGTTCCAAAAATTGTAAGGGACTGTCAAAAACAATGCCGCTGTTTCAATTATTGGTGTCATGCATTTGCCCGAGTTTAACTATGCGTGACTGCTTTCTAGGTCATAGGTGATACATATCTCTTGACAAAACAGTTAGTGGAAGAGCAGTTTTCGGGTATCGCCTTCCTCCAAACACATTGGCTGCAATGTGTAAAATATCGCAAAAAACGCATGTAGCTGCGCAGACACGCCAATTGTCTAGGGCGGAAGCCCAACTTCGGTAGAGCGCTGAAAGTACATACTGACTTCATTCATGATGTGTGAAAAGAATGGTGGAAAGTTTCGCCGTCAATAATAATTGTTCGCACATAGCCTATGGTATAGGACCATTTGGCTGTTGGCTTGATGGTATCAGCCTTGTTGTAAGGCGGCCGACAGTCGTGTAGTGACATGGCACGGTTAGATTCCTTTCGTGCTCTTTGAACAAGGGACCGAGGCAAAATGGATCCGTTGAATCAGGACAAAGTCAGATTAAAAATCCATCCAGAAAAGTTTTTGTTTTCCGCGTTGCCTCTTATTTGTTGCCATTGCCTCTGAGCTGGACCTATCATCTGAACTAACGATGCCGCTCCCCAAAAAGCTGCTCGATTTATTTTTTATGATACAGCACAGCAATGCGGATCTCAACTTCAAGTATAGCAATGCAATGTTCGTAGGCCTACATGGACAGAGGGCCAAATGTCGCTTAGCATAAGAGTCTCTACGAGGCCGGTGAATCAGTACGGTCAATATCATAGACAACACAAAACAAAAAGTGAAATATAGAACAGTTTGCCCCAATATCTAAAATAACCCCTCATTGGAGCAAATAATCTAGAGGTTGCGGCTTCGGGTTTCCCGCTGCGCCTTCCGTGGTGATGCCACTTCGAGGAACGTTTAAATAATATTGTCTTCGTGTTATGGATAGCTTTTCCTACGGTTTTATAATATTCCGGCCAAAGTATTGGGGGCCCCAAACAGATATTGGGGGCCGACTGAACATTGGGTGGACAGGGCCCTCACAAAAGAATGCAACTCGACACCCGTGGTTTAAGCCATAAGAGTGGGGTTTGCTGGTGTGCTCGAAGAAGTTTTGTCCATATGATATATTTTTCCGAGTGCCGAGTGCCTTGCCTGCTGTCTTGCTTTTTGTGTGTGTTGTGTTTCTATACATGTATGTGCAAAGATATGTACCAGTCTGGTGGTGTGAAATAAACTGCATAATTATTATTGGTATCATCATTTTCAAGGTGAACGCGTTTGTAATATGATAGCATCGAGGAACTCTCAAGGCAGAAGACAATTCCGTGTGTCCTTTTGAGTCGCATATTGCGTGCGTCTCGCATGCATCCTGCACAGGGGCAGGAAAAGCACCGATGTGTTTGACATCCGTGGGACGAGCAAGACTTGCCCTGTAAACTGTCCCGTGCGCATACGCAGCCCCGTTCTTTGGCTCTTCAGCGTGGAGGCACCAGCGGCAGATCGTACGTTGTCATGGTAACTGCGCCGGCGCCGACGATCAAACTATCGATTCACTGGGATCACCGTGGTTGTGTCGCACGCGCCCGGGGGCGTTGTCGGCGTAAGGCGGCGCCGGCAGCAGGGCTGGCGGCGTGATGCCATGCACTGGGGTGGGGGTTTGGTAGTTAGCGGTTTTAGTTCATGACCCGGTCAGGGGAAGACGAATCCAATGAGTCGTGCTGAGCCTCGTGAGCCGCTGAAGAAAAACTGGCAGCGAGGTGTTCAACATATTGGCTCAAAGCCCTCAAGGTAAGCAGAGTTACCGAGGCTCGATATGTTGGTGCTGTGATTTTGTGCATTATCTCCCTCAATAAGCAGTCCTGTAGCGCTAAGTGTTTATCTGATTGCTTGCAGCTTTGCTAGAAATCGTGTTCGGGGTGTGCTCAGCGTTCAATAATGCGCTTGTTTAGTAGTTCATCGAGGTCACACAACCAGCCACTGGGCCAAGCCGATGCGTGGATGCCATGCCAAAATCAATTGCCAGGCAGAAAAGGACGTGCAGCATATGCACTGCAGCATCTACATTGCACGCCGCCCTCGCAGTATTACCTGGCGGAATCACGCGCTATTTACATTGATTATATGAAGGCGAGCCCTGACAAATGTGCCGGTAAGATGGAAAAAGACGGCAACATATCCGTCATCCTGAAAAATCAGCTCTCATATGACATTTCTCTGATAGGTGTATATACAACACGAGAACGGGAGGCCAGGCGATTTCAGCCGGTCGGCCAACAGCGCATGTGTTTTCGTGGGCATGGTGTCAAAGGGGGCCTGGGAGCACGCGGTGACTAGCTTGGTTAGGTGGAATGCAGTACAAAAGCCAAGCTCGCCGCTTTTTGTGCGCCATGAACGATAAGAGGACGTCAGTTAGGTCGTTTGCAATGTGATTCCCAACACTGAATTGTGGTAGCAGCGCCGGAAGCACAAGCAAGGCGCATTTACACACAATTTTCTCGCTTTCACGTTACACTCTGTTTGCACGCAATTCTTCTGTGACGGGAGCCTGGTACAAACCAAACATTATCAGCCGACGTTCAAAGAAGTTGTTGAATCCAATGTCGCATCGCAACGCAACACGATACACCCACGGCACGGGACTATCGGCCGTCGCAGACAGCGCGACGCGAGCCCAAACACAGCTCAGCGGAGCATTGTGTGCCCCGCGGCTCCGTAGCTGCGGCGCATGTTGCCGACTCCGGCATCGACCTCGCCGGCCTTTCCTGGCAAAGGTCGTAGAAGGTCGCAGTCGGAGCCGTCCCCGCTCCGCTTGACTGGCCAGTGCCAGATTCCAGACCAGACCCGTTCCAGATTCAAAACGGCGTGCTCGTGCCCTACGGCAGGAATACACGTGAGCTGACGACGGGTCGCAGGCACGAAGCGCCCGTTTCGCTGGCCGATCGCAAGGGGCCGTCACCGTCGGTGGGCGCAGTCGCAGTCAAGCCCATGAAGCAGGTCATCGCCATCCCTCATCACCAAAACGCAGCTGCAAACATGTTGTACAAACAAGGGCGCGATGCGTAAAGGTGCCGCCTTTTCATTGCGTCCGTGTTGTGATGCATGCATGCTATAGGCGGCAGAGTGACGCTGCGCCTTCGTCACGCCTTCCAACAACTTGTCTTCCAACTTCACGGCACCAAATGGCTTGAGTATTTCCCTGCATGCGGGATTGCACGAGCGTGTGAAACACCGTGGCGTGTAAGCTACGGAAGGCATCTGCTGCACTATGCTTTCCCATGTTAGCGAGGTGTTCGCCTTGGAGTGCAGTGCCACTCAGGATGGCGTTTGAAAACTATCATACAGGAAGCCATTCGAGCTCTTGGAGCCCGTTCTGAGTATGGATCCGTGAAGAAAGTCGTGCGGAGCTTCAACACTGTTCTTCAACATTGTTTCAACACGTCTTTGTAAGCATGACATACCAGAACATAATGCTGTTCTCTAAACTTTTGAGTTGTTTTTTCTGGATGACTGTGACCCCCGCCCTCCCTCCCAAACAAAAACAACATGATATTGTGCCTTTCAGACACAAATGGACAAGTGGTGACGATATACACAGGGAGCTAGTCAGCTCGGGCAAGTTATGACCAACATGGAGAAAACGAAACGCAGAGGTACGATTTTCAAATTACTCTGGGGCTTCAGGACGATGTGGCAGCCATCCATTGTCTGATTGCCACGTTTTGTACCAGGGACTTGTACAAGGAAGCGCTGACGCTGAAATTGATGGAAAGTAGGAAGATCCACTTGTCACGGATTGTGTACTTTTAGACGAAAAGAGCTGTGTCTGAAGCAGCCTTGCCTTACCTCTCACCTGCGGTTTTGGACGGCTGCCGCCAGGTGGGTGGGTACCGGCCGGGGCCGTGTTCACTTGCCGCCGGTACCTGCTGTTCGCCGTGCTGCCCGTGGTGGTGCTCCTCTACTGGGTCAACTCGCAGTACGGCGTCGGCTTTCTGCCCGTTCCGCCCGTGTTACGTCTGGTTCAGCCGCAGCGTGAGTGATGCCGGGGGCCACGTCGACAGGAGGGGGTGCCCAGAGGCCTAGTCGGATCAGGTGTGCACCGACCCTAAGCAGCCCTGCTACAAGAAGAGTACGTGTAGACTGAGTGATCGCACCTATTAACCGGACTAGATTCTTGTGATAAACTTTGGAAAATCATTGCATAGTAATTTTGTTATCTAATGGGCGTGTTCTTGCGGTCATTTGGTATCCTTTGTGGCGGGCGATTGCACACGAAATGGAAGTGGAATGCGCGTAAAACAATGAAACATGAAACGTGCCTCAACATGCATTAGGTGACGGAGGACAGTAATCCAAAATATACATTATCCTCACCAGCGTAGAAGTACAAGACGAAGTGTCACAATATGTGCTCGGAACATTTCATGCTGCAAGCCCCTCATCAAAAAAGGTCCTCGCATGGCCGGTTGATTGAAACGATCGAGCGTCACGCGTCACGGAGCCCCCGCGCCGTCTGCCGAAACCCCTCGGCTGTGTGACCACCGTGTCAGCCCCCCCCCCCCCCGCCGCCACCAGAGGCGCGCGGCCAGTACCTGGTGGACACGCCCACCTGCCGCATTCCCAACGTGGACCCGTTCGACGCCTCGGTGCGCGAGTTCGCCCGCCCGCCGGAGCCGATCCTGTGCAACCGCGAGCCGCCGCCGCTCACCTACAGCGACATCGACTCGGTGTACCTGCTCAGGGAGCGGCAGCACCTGTACGGCGCCAGGTCAGACGCCGCGATCGATGGCCGGCTGAGGCCTGATGGGAAGTGATGCCGTGTGGTCTGAAATATCCATGCATTCAGTCCCGTATTGCTGAAACGTTAAGTTTATCTTTGTTTTTGATTGGAGGGTCTTAGCTTTTACTGATGTGCTCGGTGTGCTCGATATAGTACTGATGTGCTCGTTAAGCAGACAGTTGTTGAGGTTTAGATGCATTACAGGCTCCTGACAGGGCATATCGGGGTCAGAGGTCTCAGGTCCCCACAGCACCTTCGTCACCGCCCTACCACCTGCAGCAGGGAAAACCTTTCGATTATTGCACATTAACTGCGTTTCCCATTGATTACCACTTTTCAGCGACGACAGGCAGCGATGGGCATCGTTGCATTGCCGCGATTCACAAAGATGGCATAACGCGCTTGATCAGCACAGGCAATATGAAACTAGGCCCACGTGTCCTCTAGCTGCGGCTTGGCAGCAGGACGTGGCGGGATGCAACTGTAGCAAGGGGGAGTGTCACCTGAGAAAATGTCGCTGCCCAGCTGGGAAATAAGCTTTTTCACAAGCAGTGGCGGCGCCACTAATTTGAGATTGGGGGGCAGGATTTTCCAGCGGGCTCCTGGACAAAGTGGGGCCTCGGCACAGGGGGGGGGGGGGGGCCTCTGCGCACTGTCGTGTTCAGGGGGAGCGGCACCGGGGGCGTGTGACCCATCATCAAATTGTTTCACATACCATATTTAAGTAGACAGATGTTGACAATTAAAAATCCTGAAGTGGGTGTTCTATTATCCAGCAAAGGGCCTCGCTAACCTAAAACAGGATCTCGTTCCAGAAATGGACTCCTCAAAAACTTTCCGAATTTACGAAGGTGGGCTTCCAGATTTAGCCAATGAGCCTCGTTGTCCCGAAACAGGACGTCCTGATCCGGAACTGCGGACACCTGATGCATGCAAAGGCATTCCGTTCCATGAATGTTCCAGAAATGGGCCTCCGGCACATAGAGGATACCTCGTAACCCTGAACAGGAAACCGTTCTTTTTTGTAACGGGTGTCTGCCGAGCCAGCAAAAGGCCCTTAATATGATAATGGCCACGTGATCTAGAAAATTGGCTACCTTATCCATGAAGGTGGTCTCATGATGCATAAAACGGGTCTCCTGATGTAGCGAAGTGTCTTTTGGGCCTAATTTATTAGTCCTGTAGCTCAGTCATAGGACCTCCTTGACCTGGATTTTACTACTCTACAAGTAGCTACAATGCCTTTAGTGTGTGAAAAACCCAAATAGGGGCCTCCCAAAGATTGGGGGGAAGAGCACACTCTTGCCTTCTCTGTCCTCCCCCCCCCCCCTCGCTGCTGCGTTGCCCTTGTTCGCGCATTTACGCTGCAGCTGTCACCTTGGCCCTTTGTTAGCTCATCTGCGCGCGTTCTTGGGCATAATGCGGCCAAAATACATCACCTGAACGGTATTTTCGTCTCGGGATGTGACCAACTGGCCGGGGGGGGGGGGGATCGGGCCCAGGTGCCCCTCGCGATCAGCTGCCTATGCCCCCGCTCGCGTGCGCAGAACGGTGGGCTGCGGGAACAATTGAGAGCGATGGTGTACCTACATAAACAGACTCCAGATGTCAGGACTGCACAGCTGGTCCAGCGAAGAGAACTCATCGGTTGACATGGCTGATGACAGGAGTTAGTCCCTCGGAATTTTCGGGGTTGATCGACTTACTGGTGACCGTTTATTTTTGATTCCATGAGTTGATCATATTGTCTCTTCCCCTTAATTTGTGCTATGCAATGTGCTGATTCCGATGATTGCGTATGTTGCAGGCCACCTTTGACTTCAGCATCCTGCTGTACCCGAGACATAGACTGGATCAACGATCTCAACAGTTCTATCCCTCGAAACACGATGGGCAGAGTACGGTAAGCTTCTGTACGGCCAATTTTCTTCTATCATAAACTATTACAATGCTAACTGAATGCTGGATGCAGCCTTTCCCAGAATTACAAAAATGGTCGTTGCTATAGTAAACGGCAACCCTTGGTCTACCTATGGATGCCGTGTCAAAATGCGTTGGACGCATAATTCACTTTAAGTTACTTAATGGACACGATGCGCGGTATCTCCTTAAGATGCATCCATTTTTGGGACATCTGGCATGTCCTTCATCTCCGAGAGGTGGCCATCACAAACCGTCGGCTGACGAGCAGCCGCGTCCCGACCGCGACCACGTCTCGTCCCGCCAGCGACCGCCGATGCCGCGTCGGCCCTCGCGTGACACTGCCACCTTCCGCAGGAGGTCGCCACGGTGCCGGCCGCTCCTGGGCAGCTACACACCAAGCGCCGACGGCGTGGAGGTGACCTGCGCCGTGAACAAGACGATGGTGTACCGCGACTACTACCACTTCGTGCCGCTGCGGCCGCAGCTGGAGGCGGCGAGTCTGCAGCGACGGCCGCAGGACGTGGCGCCCAACGTGCTGATCTTCATGTTCGACTCGCTGTCTCGGCTGCAGTTTCTGCGCTGGTTCCCGCGCTCGCGCCGCTTCCTCAGCGATCGGATGGAGGCGTTCGAACTCGGCGGGCTCAACAAGAATGGCGACAACACCTGGCCGAACCTGGTGCAGATGTTCACCGGCATGGAGCAGGCCGAGATGAAGCGTCAGTGCGCACCGGATCCCAAGAAGGACCCGCTTGACGGCTGTCCGTTCATGTGGAAGGAGTTCAAGCAGGCGGGGTACCGCACGGCCATGGCCGAGGACGCGCCAGGGATGGGCTCGTTTAATTACCTCAAACTGGGGTTCCTGAAGCAGCCGACGGACTACTACACGCGGCCCACCAGCCTGCTGTTGGATGCCAACATTGCCTACAACAAGCAGCTCAACACGAAACCGAACCTGTGCGAGGGAACGCGATACAGCTACTTCTCCACCTTCAAGTATGCGCTGGATCTCGGCACGCGTCTGGCGGACCGACCGTACTGGGGTTTCGTCTGTCAGAACGTGTTCTCGCACGACTCATTCAACATGCCCTATTTCCTGGACGAGCCGTACTACAAGGTGCTGGAGTCGCTGTTCAGCAGCGGCGCGCTCAATAACACCGTCCTGGTCACCATGGGCGACCACGGCCTGCGCTGGGGCCGCGAGCGGCAGACCTTCATCGGCGGCCTGGAGGAGCGGCTGCCGTTCATGAGCCTGTACTTCCCGCGCTGGCTGCGTCGCCGCTACCCAGCCGCCTTCGACAACCTGCGGGTCAACCAGCACCGCCTGAGTACCTTCCGCGACGTACACCGCACGCTGCTGGACCTGCTGCGGCCGGACGAGACGCTGGGCGGCGTCGATACGCGCGAGGCGGCCGAAAATGCCTCCAGTGTCAGCCTGTTCCGGCGCATCTCGCCATACCGCCGCTGCGACCACGTGCAGGTACCGGACCACTTCTGCACGTGCCTGCGCTCTGAGAAGATCGCGGCAAGCGACGGACGCGCCACGCTCGCCGCTAAGGCCGTGGTGCGCGAGCTGAACGTGCTGCTGCGCGCGGCCCCGCAGTGCGCGCCGCTGAGGCTCCAGCGCGTGCTCACGGCGCGCATTGCACAGCCGCTCAAGGGCGATCCGAAGAAGAGCGCGCCGTTCCTGCGCCAGATGACGACGGTGCAGCTGCAGACGGCACCGGGCGGGGCACGCCTCGAGGCGACTGTGCTCGGCGACGGCCACGAGCTGCACATCAGCGGCAGCGTGTCGCGGCTGGACCGGTACGGCCACCTGGCGTGGTGCGTCAAGGACCACCGCCTCGAGAAGTACTGCCACTGCGGTGGCGCGTCGCGTCACTCGACGGCGCGGCCGGTCCCGCCGACGGCCGGCGCGGCGTCCGACGTGCGACCGCGGCGCCCGACGCGGCGACCGCGACGGGCCCGGCCGTGTCTGGGGCCACGGTGCCAGGGGGAGCTCGGGCGGGTTCGCCGCCGGGGGCTGGAGCGCTTGGGAGCACGCCGTCAGCGACCAAACCACCAGTGGAAGAGGCGCCTGTGACTAAACCGCCGGCGGGTAAAGCGTCCGGGTCTGAACCGCCAGCGAGTGAAGCGCCAAGCCCCAAATCGCCAGCGAGTGAAGCGCCAAGCCCCAAATCGCCAGCGAGTGAAGCGCCAAGCCCCAAATCGCCAGCGAGTGAAGCGCCAAGCCCCAAATCGCCAGCGAGTGAAGCGCCAAGGCCCAAATCGCCAGCGAGTGAAGCGCCAAGCCCCAAATCGCCAGCGAGTGAAGCGCCAGGGCCCAAATCGCCAGCGAGTGAGGCACCAACGTCCAAATCGCCAGCTAATAAAGCATCTAGGTTCAAATCGCCAGCGAGTGGAGCGCCAGGGTCCAAATTGCCAGCCAGTGAGGCGCCTGAGTAAACTGCCAGCGAGTGTAGAGCATAGGTCTGAGCCTTCAGCAAATGAAGCGCCTGGGTCTAAACCGCCGGCTGCCAAAACGTCTGTGTCTGAACCACCGGCGATTCTCAGTCACCAGCGACTGAGCCCCAGCGAAGCCAGAACGAGCGCCAGTGACTGAGACCGGTGGTGGCCAGCCTGTCTGAGTGCCTGCCGGCCCAGGGTGGGATGCAGTGGCGGACAGCGGCGCTTTGTCCTCCGCTCGCTGGTAACAGGGTTGCACGTGATATGCCGGCTGTTGTAGGATGGACGGGCGAGTGTTTGGGATGCACTGCGCGGGCGTGGGGATCTGAACAGGGTTGAAGTACGTGGTGAGGGCTCTTGCGTGGTGCTGGAGTGGGGATGATCCTTGATAGCGAGGATGTTTTTGTTCGGGAGAAGGCAGGTTAAGGATTTGGCTTCATGTCCGGCATTGTCGCAGGGGCTGGCCCAGGCCAATGTCAAGTTCCGTTTCTGCCACTGTGTACGGCGCAGGTCTGCTGTCACCCGCCGGTCATCCGCTCCAGCTCACCTGGGTCATCACGGGTGTTCTGCGACCGACTGCAATGGCGCTGGCAAACCTGCGTAGGAAGTTACGCTCAGGCAACTTATTTCGCACAACGATGAGTGATGGCGTGGATTATGCCAACCGCTCCCGAACTGTCCGCCAAGAAGCTGTCCACCACTCAGCAGTTTCCCTCTGGTAGAGTTTTGTCACGCTGCGCACGCATATCGATGTCTGGTTTCTCACGTGGGGCACGGGGTAAAGGGTACCAGTGTGGTCGCTGCGACGACCCCGCTTTTGCGCACCTTGCTGTAAACGCCAACCCGCGCCATCCACCACTCACCATTATGCGAGGAGCCCGTCGAACCATATCACATGCCCGGTAGTCCGGGAGGTAGTGCCGGCCGTGCAAAGCGTTGCGCTGGTTGTGTGAGGAATCGTGAACTTGGTCAGAAGGTTGCCTGAATAACGGTAATTTACTTGCTAGTCTCCTATGAGACCAAAGATGCAGGTCGAGCTTATGCATTCGCACTTTAAGATGACCTCACTAGGGTTTTTAGTCGCATTTCCACAGCAGGAAGTCTTTTACGTAATAAAATTATGCAAAACCCAGGTAGATGGTGAGGGACCTGAATTGTTGGGTGAATTGTTAATATAGCACCAAACAATGCATAGGATTCAACAGCACCAAACAACATCACCAAGATGAAGGCTTCGAGCGTTGAGGTCTAGTCGGCTGTTCGATGACACCCGCGAGGTATGGGATCTTCTCACGAGCGCTCATCAATAATGATCACGTTTGCTTAGCATTGGCATAACGCCAGCTAAAGCAGCGCGTCGCTGGCGCGTCGTGCACTCGTGTTTTTTCCTGCTATGGGCGGAAATGGTAAATGTGGGTATGTTATAAAGGAAAAAACGGTGACAGAGAACAACCGAAAACAAAAGCTAGAGAGCAACCGCGGAACGCACTCGCCCCTCAGCGCAGAGCAGTCGCGGGGGCCTTGCTCTGCGAAAGCGGTCTGTGGGACCTCCAACAGTAATTTCGGAATGTGAGGTGACCCTTACCATAAATCGCCATAAGCCTGATGTTCGAATCGGTAGTGATCATGGGGTCCAAGCGTGCAGCTGAAAACCAACGGAAACTTCACAGCAATCGCATGCACATTTTGACTGACCAGGCGCAGACGTTGCGCGAGAATGAGCCGGCGAGTAAAGCGCTGGTCACGGCCTGTTGTTGCAGGCCGGTCAATTGCGGGGGCATTTGCGCAACGGCTGGCTTTATCGACCCTCGCCATGCAATTCATTGCCTCGGGCATTCCTGGACTCGGGCTGCTAGATCGTGTGGCTTAATTCACGGCTGCATGCGTCTGTTGGCAGCTGTATTCCAAGCGTTGATTGCACACGGTCCATAATAGTGATTTACGTCCAGTGTAGTACGTCGGTGCACCCACGATTCCGGTGCAGCGGGCTGACCGAATCATAAATTTTACAATAAACCGAAAATGGCGCGAGAGCCGAGGGTGGACGTCGCTTCCTTGTCACTAATTCGAAGTTGTGAAGACCTGGAAAGGAGCTGAAGACTATCTGCGCAGCAGAGTTTTCTTTTCCGTGTCAAACTCGTTGGCTAGACTTTGGTAACACTCATTGGCTGGTTCGCCTCAATGCTGTTGTGGTGTATGTTTTCCGATATATGGCTGCGTCGCAGGAGACAGGTCCAACTATTTAGTCGAGCATCCTTCATGCCTCCTTGTGACAACTGAATGAGGTTTAATCGAGAGCAAAATAAAAATTGTCACATCAGGCTGACCTTTCTCCGCGATAGTTTTTAGGCCCATGGGTTCCGAGATGGCTCCCTCAGAACAATCGAACTCTGGGAACGTCCCCGTGGCGTCCGTCGATCGGCTGGACGATGCGGTCCTGCATGGACCCGCTGCACGCCGGAACAATGGCGAATCGATGAGGCAGCGTTCGGGACCCGTGACAGTCGGCGCCCTCACACGCAATGCCTACGGAGGTGGCACTCAGCATGCGAACGGGCGTGCGGATCGCGGGACACGGTGGCGGCGGGGCGACGGCCGGAATAGCCAGGCTGTGTCGCAGTCCTGTCGGCGGTCGCAGTCGCAGCCCACACGTGCGGACGCGTGCGGATCGCGGGACACGGCGGCGGCGGGGCGATGGCCGGAATAGCCAGGCTGCATCGCAGTCCTGCCAGCGGTCGGAGTGGCAGCGCGCACGTGGGGACGCGCGGATCGCGGAAAACGGCGGCGGTGGAGCGACGGCCGGAATAGCCAGGCTGTGTCGCAGTCCTGCCAGCGGTCGCAGCGGCAGCCCGCACGTGCGCGCGGACCGCGGGACACGGCGGCGGTGGAGCGACGGCCGGAATAGCCCGGCTGTGTCGCAGTCCTGCCAGCGGTCGCAGTGGCAGCCCGCACGTGCGCGCGGATCGCGGGGCACGGCGGCAGCGAAACGACAGCCGGAATATCCAGGCTGTAACGCAGTCCTGTCGGCGGTCGGAGTAGCAGCGCGCGCGTGCAGACGTAATCGGGACACTTCGCCAGCGTGCTTAGAACGAAATTGTACGGAGGGCTCCAGTCGCTCCCGAAATACCGGTCATTTACCGAAATACCGGAGTTTGGGTGGATGAAACTACAGAGACCGGCTGTGGTTCATTCATGTTTCAGCTTAGCTGAGCAGTTCCAAGTTGTCCTGTTCAGCATTTTAACGACAGATAACCGCCAATAAGAAACTTGCTTCCACACGACGACGGAACGACGGTATTCTCCTCAGCACGCTTGCAATCCTTACATCACGCAGAAGTGACGAAACAGGCTGACTTGAGGATAGCTTGAAAGTTCTTGGTCGGCTAGGATCTGGCGACCTTTTATCGTGCGGCCTGCTGTATCCGCTGCTCTTCTGCTTTCCCCGCCCGGGGCTGGTGTATAACAGTTGCCCAAAACATGGAGTAAATTCTTCCGCAGGTGCCGAGCTGATGTCACACTGCGGAACGGTGGGGGTGCCTAGAGGGCCGCAGCGCAGAAGCCGGCGCTGTATGCTCCCTTACCCCCATAGAAATGTAAATCAACACAGCTCTAGAAGCTTACAACACATGCGGTGTTACGCACTGAGGTATACGTGCTGAGGCAGGCTGCTAGGACAGGACCGCCATGGACTTGCAGCCTACTAAGATGTCAATCCCGGTGTGCTTTTCCCAGTCCCTCGAGATGCCGAGATCTTACAACTTATAATTCCTCGCTGGGAGATGGTCCGACATATAACGGGATCGTTTTTTTTTTCTCGTGGAATCGGTAGCCTAGTTGGTTGGGTTGAAGCGCCTGTACTCGGATTTACTCACCCTTGGCAAGGTGGGCTCGAGTTGTCTTAAAGGGAATGTTCCGCATTTGAGGATATTGAAGCAAGGTCAGACATCATGAAATAACATCACTTATGATAAGTATACTTGTAAGTGAAAAAGACTGCTTAAGATAACGAAATTGCTCTATTTAGTACTGATGCTTCTCAACAGGTCATGGTTTGCGTCCTGGAACTTGTATGACAGCACTCACTTGCAGCTCTTCGATATCCCAAGGAGTTGCCAACGGAGTGCTGGATGCCTGTCGAACCAACTAACGTTAGGTTCCAGTATCTTGGTCCTTCCTCGTGGTATTATTGGCTGTCTGTCTGTGAGCTTAAGGTGTTTACTGACATTCACATACACGATAGTGACCTTATTCTTAAGCTATTCGATTACACGTCTT